CCTTTTTTTTTTTTTTTTTTTTTTTTTTTTTTTTTTTTTGGAAACCAGGTCTCCTTCACTAGGGGAGGTGGTACGAGCATCCACCCCTAGTAACGTCTCTGGCTGCTCCGTTCCATGGGTGGGTAGCATCACCTGCTGGATATCGGGTCCAGCATCCCCTCATGCGATGGGGACCTAATTTACTCGGGTCTTAGGTGACCGGGCAGCACGACCAACAGCTTCTTCTTCAGCAGCAGGGGCTTCCCTCATGGAGGCCAACCCGGTACCGAGCGTTACGCAAGGATGTACGGGCCAGGGGCAAGGGCGGGAAGGGAGGGCAGGCAATCTGCTTTTTTTTTTTTTTTTTTTTTTAATAAACTCGAAATTTATTATGAGTGAGGGAAAGAGTTAGGGGGAAAAAAAAACAAAAAAAACGTGAGGCGGCGATCTTTACCTGCTCCGTTGTGAAGAAATCTTTTCCAGCTTTGGTTCGGAAAGACCCCATGAGTTGCATATGCGCTCACACAAGAGGCCCCCAGTCCGGCCAACACTTTCTGATTGACGACGGTTCAAAGTTCAAACACAAAAGAAAGTTAGAAGCCACATTCAAAATTACTATCTACTGATTTTCAGTGCTGCAGATATGATGAATCTAGACTGAAAGTTGCCCCAAATACATATACTGTATTACTGTCATATAGGTATGATGACCGTATAGTAAGTACTACCTATACATTCTATTTTGGGGAAGACAGTACTCATCCACAAAGTGCATTCTGTGCTCTTGATAGCAGACATTGAGAAGATACGTTCAGCGTATCTGGCTGACATCAAGACTCACCCCATCCAAAGTGCATTCTGTGCTCTTGATCGCAGACATTGAGAAGATACGTTCAGCGTATCTGGCTGACATCAAGACGATGCTTTCAGCGTACCTGGTCATTTGGAGGAAGGTACACAACTTGAACCATTCATCTTCAGGAGGTATATTCACATGTCTTCGTATGGGACGATGGGCCCGATTCCCAGCACGTGCTGCTCCCCACAAATAGATTGGAGCATGTTTAGGAAGAAAAAAAAAGAAAAAAGGAAAAAAAAAAAAAAAGAGCTGCAATCCTGACCTATTCCATGAATTTCGCGTCTACTCCCTTTGAAGAGGGACAAAGGAAAAGAAAAAGGTGAGTATCAGCTTGGAGCACTGATAAGAATTTAATAATTTATAATAATTTTATATATGACAAAATCAGGTAAATTACTAAATTGATAATTTTATTACTTTTTTTTTTTTTTTTGCTTCGATAAATTGATATACTATGTCTTAAGACTCTTAACCTCTTAATATTTGTGTGAGGAATGAGCCCTCACGGGGCCCCTATCAGACATACACATGTTCTGGGCAGAGGCCCCCAGCAAGCCGAGTGCCCGCCCTCAGTGAAGGCGGGCCTGAATATTCATCAGAGGTCAACATTCGACATTTTTCATATGTGGGTATTCAGGCTCTTGCAGCACGCCAGTTGGTTGAGTGGACGTGTGAGCCTCACTAAGCTGCGTCGTACAGTTGGCCCAGGCCTTGGCAGTTGCGCCTGGGCACATACACACAAAGCAGGGCCGATACATCTCGAAGTGGCCACAGGCCTATGCAAAAGCAGTACTGTCGACATACCTACCCCAGGGTCTTGTGCAAATGCAGCAAACGGCTCAAGTCTGGAGACTGATGTTATGATTCTGGTTGTCCGTTGTCTGAAGACCAGCAGTCACTCACATAGACTTCCAGGTATGCCCATACATACACAGAAGGAAGGGGAGAGGATAGGAGTATCACACCGCACAGGGAGAGATAAACACAGCGGAAGACTTGACCATGCGATATGACAGGGTACACTGAAAGTGTAATTCACTCCACTCAATCCTCACGACCAGTCATAAAGAAAAGCTGAGTAGATCACATCCAGGAAACAATGAAACGATGATAGTCCAAACCCAGTATCACACTGTTTATTAAACTCAGAGTCTTGAATTGTCAGGATAACCTCAGAACTACAGTNCAGGAAACAATGAAACGATGATAGTCCAAACCCAGTATCACACTGTTTATTAAACTCAGAGTCTTGAATTGTCAGGATAACCTCAGAACTACAGTGCGCTGCTCAGAAATGAGCAGCGCTTCACTCCCCAACCCTGAGTAACCACGCGTAGCACCCCAGAGGCCCTGAAACATCAAGCGCCACCCAAGTACTGCCTCCAGAGGACAGCACCACCCTGAAAACAGGCCTCTGAGGCCAAGCGCCACTCAGAGGATGAAGAGGAAGACCAGCGCCACAGTATCTGATGATGACGAAGTGTCGGAAGACTTCCCAGTGGAAGCCTGCAGCAGCGCCACCACTGCTGACAAGATGACCTCTGAGGAAAAGGCTGCAGCGCCACAACCCTGGAACCCCACTCCGGAGGAGGGTCCAGCAGGGCACCAACTTCTCTCGCCTCCAGCAGACCTCGATAACCCAGACCTTTGTACAGCCCCGCGTGCTGACAGAGTACAGCGCAGGTCCCAGCTATGGTCGGCACTCCGAAGGTCTGGCTATGTCCGTCTCCCCCAACGCTGAGCCATCACCTCTTCCGGTTCACTCGTAGCGCAGCAGCGATGTACTCGGTACCAACTGCCAAAAGCCCTGAACCGATGTGCCCATCCTATCTATAGTCTACTCTAGCCTAGACTCTACCTAGACCAGACTGACTGGCCGACCGGTACCGTTTCTGTTTCGGCCTCTAGGGCCTCTCCCAACCCGGCTATAGGCTATAGGACCGTCTATCAGCTTAGGCCCGTGAGGCCTGTCTGTCCTAGAGGTAGCCCGGGCCTGCTATTCACAGTTAGGATAGCTGTAGGGAATTCTGTTAGTACGGGCCTATATTTTCCCGAATTTACAAATATGTCCCTCACGAATTTCCTTACAGGTAGGTCTCTAGGTTAGCCCTCAGCCAAACAAAATTACGAATCTAACCTAAGACGCGACCCGACCCGACCGAGGCAAGCCCCAAGCTTCGCCCTCGGCCCAATGTACAGTCCACTGAGAATCTGCAGGCTTCATTACACTGAGGCCGTGCCCAACTGTAAAGGGCCCAGGCCCTCAACTGTAGTTTCGGGTCTGGGCGCAGGTACTGGGGCCCAACAGGAAGCTACTGGAAGCTTCCAGCCAGGCCACACGCAGCAACGCAGGGGCTGCCACTTCCATATAGGAAGAAGAGCAGCCAGGCCCTGGGTCTTCTGGCCCGCGCAGGCAATGAGGTCACGCTGCTGAGCTGCTGCGTTAGAGGCTGCGTGCTGCGTTGAGGGGAAGTGTGGGTGAAGTGGGGCACTGCAGGGCAGCGGAGCGCTAGCAGCCATAGCCAGGCTTCAGGGCGATCGGTGGTCTTCAGGAAGGAGGCGAGTGTGGGTGGACAGGGTCTGATGAGGGGAAGCGAGATACGTACCTGGTACATGGAAGCGGCCGGCTATGGTGTTGACGTCATGTACATTGGTCGTTGAGAGTCGAAGTGAGCCTGTTGCGAGAATGCTGATGTAGGTAGGATAGTCAGGTAGTGTAGGCTGGGCACTGGGCGCCAGACAGAGAGGAGCGACTTTGGATACTGTGTTGGTGTGGCCTGAGGGCTTGAACATTGGCTCATTACTTCATTGTATTGCTCT